AGAGAGAGAGAGAGAGAGAGAGAGAGAGAGAGAGAGAGAGAAAAGGGTTACCGATTAGGGAGAACATTGTTAAATATATACGTGTCGTTTAATTTCCTCGCTAACACAGCTCGATCTCTCTCTTTTTCTCGTAGGATCGACCTCTCCGTCTGTAATTTCCCTTGAAGCACCCTAAACCAAAAGGTAGCTAAGGAGCTAACAAGGAGGAGGAGGAGGGGGAAGAAGAGGCAGGACACGCGGACTCCGCGAAGGCAAATGGGCGAATTAAGCCGTAATAGGTCCTCACCTCCTTCAGTCTCGTGCCAAACGATGCCCTCGAGGGTGACGGAGGTGCCGGGCTCGCAGGGCCCCAAACACTCCGGCTCTGTAATGGTCCCCACGCTGGTCCCAACGCACACGTCGGACATGTCCTGCAACAGAGAAAATTCGCCGAACGGTCAGTGATCGATATTGCTAAAGTTTCGATGTGAGTTATGCCACTTTTTAATTAGTTATGCCCAGAAATACAACGCGAATGAGGTAGTCTCTGGGGTTTGTCACATTGTCAGCTACGTTAATTTCTTAATGACGCACATTCGTGTATCAATTTGCACGACGAGAGCGTAGTCGTGAAGAAGTATTGAATGATCTTACCATAATTTTACCTCATTAATACCAGAATTAATACCAGAATTTTAATTTACACCGGTACAAAAATAATTCATGATGGTAAATTTTGTGCTGTTGTAGCAAATAAATAAATATAAATAAACTGAACTATTAATTGATTAAACTAGCTTTTTTAATATTCACAAATGAATTCTTCGGGTCATAAAACGCAACTGTGCAAAAGCATAATTTAATTAACACTCCGACGATCGCAATCGGAGTTACACCAATGGTCGCATGTATCTCGCAGACTACCGCCATGTTCTAACTGAACTATTAATTGATTAAACCAACTATTCTTTTTAATATCCATAAATGAATTTTGATTGTGGAAACCAACTGTACAAAACTATAACTTAACTAATGCTCCAATTACAGAATACGGCAATATCTGAGAGGATACATGCGCGTTAATAAAAAACCTTGCGTATTTATTTATTTGCTACGACAGCATGAAATTTTCCACTCAGTTATTTTTCTCCTGTACTTCTGATCACATTGCACACATCGATGGTGATTAAAATTTTCATATAACGTTCCATTTAAAAAGTGTACAGCGCCGATAAATATAAATGAGACTCTAGCCTAGTCTGCCAGATCTTTCGGACCGCGTTGACAGATTAATTTCTCAGTTGCTGACGCAACGTTCGCCATCGTCGATGTTTAGCAGCCGCCAGCACCGCGGCCGTCAACTGGCGCAATTATAGGAGGCGATCTATATCGTTCAAAATTAGATGAGATAGCCCCTTACGTCCAGGGGCTTGTCATTCCACCTACCAAATAGTCTCGCACGTCTAGGGACTCGACGATATTCTGACGACGGCGCGGACTCCTAAGTCCACGCGAGAACGGATCAGACGCGATAACATGGCCACTAGGTACGACGACGTGGACGCTAATTGCGCGATCCGCTAAGAGATCTCTCGTGTAAAGCTGAGTACATGGCATTGACCGAATGAACGAGGAACGAACAGTGAATGCAAACTACCGTTGTTACAGTTTGGAAAATGTGCATGTCATAACGAATCCGTGTAAAACCAGGTTCCGCTTGCCGATTTGTTCAAAAGGCTCGGATGGTTTATCGAGGAAAATTCGTGCGCGTTTAAGCGCGAATATACACATTCCATATTATACATTCACTGTTCGTATTAAAACAGTTTATCAAAAATAAAATCACAGCTCTCCACTTTATTCACGATGTATCGTCGTTGAATCTCTTACCTTTGAAGAAGTCAGTTATCGAACACGATTTCTTACGATCGACTTTCTCTCCGAAAAGGCTCGAGTAGAGAAGAAAGTGAGAAAAGTGAATTGTTTTTTCGTAAAAGCGAGAAAAAGTGAAACGTTTTGAAGTAAGTGAGGAAAAGTGAATTGCTCTCACGCCTGTGATCGTTGTTTCTGTTCGCTCAAAATATTACCTTAACACGCGTCGCGAATTTGCGAAATTGCTGTTGCGCTTCCAATTCACTTCCCTCTCCCCGCCCTCCTTCCGCTCTTAATACCAAAGCATCGCGTTCACATTCGCGCAAATTGCACCGTTTAATTATTGATATCGCCGTATAATACAATCGAGAGCTGCGCTTTTAAGCGCAGCTCTCTCTCCGCGATAATCGATACCTAACCGGACGTACCAGTTTCATTCGCGCTCGCGCGATATTTGTTTATATACGACGCGAGATCGGGCGCGTTCGCGCCGCGGCCCGTTGCGTCCTCCTACACTACGTCGCCGGGACTCGCCGATAACTTGATCGCTTCCGGTTTTCCGATGATTGAATCCGCGTACTTTCGCGCGCCCGCTCTCTCTCTCTCTCTCTCTCTCTGTATTCGCGCGCGTGTTATTTTCGGCGGCGCACCGCGATTCGACACAATACACAGAGAGAAAGAGAGAGAGAGAGAGATGAGCCATTTCGCTCGACGATCAACAAGGTGTTAACGAGGCATCGGCCGGAATTTCCGGCTTTCCGAAAATACCCGAGGCCGCGTCGGCTGTCGCGAAATATCGCTGCGGTCCTGCCGGGCGACGGGACGGTACCGCATTCATTTCGGAAATCGATATAATCCGGTTGCTGGACACACATCCACACCTACACACCTATCCACACGCGCACGCCGTGACGAAAGCTCCGCGGAAAATGCACTCGGCGAAATGGCTCGAGGCGCGACGAAACGCATCCGAGGATATAAAAGCAATTATAGAGGAGACCCAATTAACGCGGTCGCACGCGCGTGTCATCGAGCGGGCCACTCGCTCGCTGTTTATGGAAATATCGGCATATTTCGCCGGACACGGATGGAAATGCGTTCGTTCCGGCCGTTTACACCGGCTCGCAAATAGAAACGCGAGCCGGCGGGAGGAGAGCGTTAAAGGTTGATTTTCGCATACAGTGCAGCGACGAGAGCCTACCGTGTCGCTGGAAAATTGCGAACGTGTCACGCCCGCACGCGCGTCGATTCTGATTTATGCCCGCGAGCGGAGGCGCGCGCGCGTTCTCCGCGCGGCGTCGACGAACGCTGAAGAAATCTCTCTCCCGCCTCCTCTCTTGCTTCTTTTTCCTTCCTTTTTTTTACTGCAAATTGCTCCTCGATCATAAACGGCGGCTTTCCGTCGTAAATATTTTTGATCTCCGTCAAACGCGATTTTCTCCGTCTTTCTCTCTCTCTCTCTCTCTCTCTCTCTCTCTCACTCTTTGCCTGTTCGCTTTTCGGCCGACGGTTCGAGATGTTTACACGGTGTAAACATTTTATTAGCGCGCGATATGCAGTCGAGTGTCACGTTCGGGATTGCATCGGCGTGGTGTGTTCCTTCGCATCTCGCGTTGTTATCGTTATTGATATCGCCGACGTTTTCGCGTCACTTTATCCCCGCGTACCTTTATCATCGTTACGATTGCACGCGCGACGTTCATTCTCGTTACGTGCAGAGAGCGCAGACTTAAGCGCATAATATGCGCAAAACCAGCGCCGTAAGCCGGCGCTCACCGCACCGGGTTTGAAAGCAATTAGCGAGATGTCTGCTAAATGAATGTGCGCGCTCGCCGGTCGCGGTAATTTTCGCGGCCCAATGCAAACAAATTTCCATTTCGGATAACAAAATCGCCGAGCGGGAGGACGCGCGTGTGGTCGGGGCTTTGAAAGCAATTAGCGATGCCCCGCATAATTAACGTGCTAATTAACGATACAATTTCGACTTCGGCGCGGTCCGCCGTAACTTTTTCCCTGTGTCGAAATATCGGCGCCGCGTCGCAACGCGCATTTTTCATTTATTCACGCCTGTCCCCCTCCCCGTCCCCTCCACCCGGCATTCCCACAGCTGACCCAAAGGGATTTAAATGTCGTCGATATATCCGTCATCCGTTAAGGTGCCGTTTACACGGCGCGACTTTCGATACCGGCGAAACCCGCACGTTCGACTCTCTCTCTCTCTTATTCCCACGAGAGAGAACGGCGCTCGATAATAAAATCCTGCGCGGGCATAAAATCGGGAGTGGCTCCCGCGAGTCGTTATCGTCGTGATTCGATCCCAAATTGGATTAATTCGGCTTACGGCTTGACGTTTTATTCGCGCGTGGCTTATACGCGCATAAAAAAGAGAGAGAGAGAGAGAGAGAGAGAAAAAGAAGAAAAAAAAAACAGAAAAGTTATATCGACACCAAGTCCCGCGTGAATCGACCTTTAGATAACTCCGCGACACATGCGCGCGCCGTGCATTAATCCGGATGAGTTTATCGGCGTTATCGCTCCGCCGGCGCTTCGCCGGGAAATAAAATTTGCGCCGGAAACGCATTTACGGGCCCGGCTGGCCGAATGCGTTGAAACGCATTAACGTGGATAATCGGGAGGAAGAGAGTGACAGCGTGGCAGCGGCAACAGCAGCAGCAGCGTGGGATGATGAATCCGCGACGTGAACGAGTGGGCGAACGGACTGTCCGAGGTTCGTCGCGTCTCTGACTTCATTCCCCGAATTCTCCCCCGAAACTGGAAATTAGACTGCGAATTGCCGGACCGAGTCGAAATTTCGACGCTACTTGAACGCTCTGAAAAATGATTTGCACCTATTCAGATTGCCTATAGTAAAGTCTTTCTTCAACGATTTCTACGCTCGTTAGTTTCTCTCTTGAACCTTTAATTCGACAGATTTAATTTTAATGCTACCTTGATGCTACAAATACTCGCGATATTTCGGCCATTGACCTCTTCGTGTCCTGGAGAAATCGTTTTACATGGAAAAAAGTAACAATTTTTTTTACAAGTAATAGTAACTTCCCCTAATTCAATAAGAACTGCTAGTTCATATATTGATACTTGTGAAAATTATGTTTTTTTTTTTTAACCGGTACATATACATATGCCGAAGGCGCGAAAGAGTCAAATTCATATGAATATCCGAAACAACGTATTTTCATGCTAAAAACAACGTGAACGGGACATTCGTCAACCATGATATGCAGTCATGGTAGAAGTAAATTATATCATGAAAATTGGACCTATTTAGAGCTATCTTAGCTCCTACTGTGTTGTAGAATTAGAGGTTCAACATGAGGCGAAAATTTCTCTCTCGAGGAGTCACGCCCGAATTAAAAGCGCCGTCGAAGGTGAACACCGGGTTTAATCGCGCGAGGTAACACGACGACACGCTTTGTCGTCCTCATCCCGGAGATTCGCGTCGACCCCTCGCGATGAAGGTCTCCTTTTAATCTCGGTCGGTTCTCTAAATCTCGAGAATCACTCGTATCCTCTTCGTACAACTCTCTCTCTCTCTCCC